TCCCATTTTGTGAAATAACTTTGCTTTTCCTTATCTAATGATTTATTTATCATATGACTGGAGTGTTAGCAGACGCAGGGAACAGATCTGAGATTTTCAGCTAATTTAGGTCACTTTCTCCTTAACGAAGGCAATGGGATTCTGGAGGCAATCACATACACATACCTTCACATTTAAGTGCAGATGGCTCACAATATACTGCAGTCAATAATACATAGACCTCAGGTTAAGAACCTCTGAAATCAGTGCTGACTAGTCTTGTAGATTTTGGTAGGGCTTAATTTTCATTATGGGTCCAAATTTTATCCTGTAGATAACTGAGAGTCTACATTATATTTTAAGCAAGGTTGGAATATAATTAGATTATAGTTTTCAAAAAGCATAATTCAAACAAATCACATACAGAGCCATTCAAACTAACATATTTGTCTACAATTCATATATATTTTTAAAGATAAAAGCAATACTATTTTATTTAAGATTTGCTCTACTTAATTTCTAAAAGTGATTTTTTGTGGTCTTTCTTTTCCTATTGAGGTATAATTGATATATAACATTATATTAGCTTCAGGTGTACAACATAATGATTTGATATTTGTATATATTGCAAAATGATCACTACAATAAGGCTAGTTAACATCCATCACCACACATAGTTAAAAAAATTTTTTTTCTTTTGATGAGAACTTTTAAGGTCTACTCTCTTAGCAACTTTCAAATATGCAATACAGTATTATTAACTATAGTCACCATGCTGTACATTATATCCCCATGATTTATTTATTTTATAACTGGAAGTTTGTACATTTTGACCCCCTTTATCCATGTTGCCTAACCCCCCCCCGCCCCCACCTCTGGCAACCACCAATTTGTTTTTGTATCTATGAGCTTGCTTTTGTTTGTTTGCTGAGACTCCACATATAAGTGATATCATATGATATTTGTCTTTCTCTGACTTATTTCACTTAGCATAATGCCCTCAAGGTCTATCCATGTTGTTGCAAATGGCAAAATTTTATTCTTTTTATGGCTGAATAATATTCCATTATATAGATACCACATTTTCTTTATCCATTCATCCATTGATAAACACTTAGCTTGTTTCCATATCTTGGCTTTTGTAAATAAGGCTACAATGAACATATGGGTGCAGATATGTTTTCCAGTTAGTGTTTTCATTTTCTTCAGATACATATCCAGAAGTGGAGTTGCTGGATCATATGATACTTCTACTTTTAATTTTTTGAGGAACCTCCATACTATTTTCCATAGTGGCTGCACCAATTTATACTCCCACCAACAGTGCACAAAAGTTCCCTTTTCTCCACATCCTTATTAGCATTTGTTATCTCTTATTTATTTTGATAATAGCCATTCTAAAAGTTGTAAGGTGATATCTCATTGTGGTTTTGATTTGCATTTCCCTGAAGATTAGGGATGTTGAACATCTTTCCATGTAGGTGTTGGTCTTCTGTATGTGTTCTTTGGAAAAATGTATATTCAGATCTTCTGCCCATTTTTTAACCGGATTCTTTGGGAGTTTTTTTGCTATTGAGTTGTTTGAGTTCTTTATATATTTTAGATATTAACCCCTTATCAGATACATGTGTTGCAAATATTTTCTCTCATTCAGTAAGTTGCCTTTTCATTTTGTTGATGGTTTCCTTTGCTCACAGAAGCTTCCCCTACAATTTATGGTGATAAATTTTTAAAATTTTAAGATGAGGGGTAGTGGCAGTAGATTTGATTTTGTTTTAAATCTAGATTTTAACACTTACTAGTTTAAAGCTAACTAGCTGCAGAATCTTTTTTTTTTTTTTGTGAGGAAGATCAGCCCTGAGCTAACATGCATGCTAATCTTTCTCTTTTTGCTGAGGAAGACCGGCTCTGAGCTAACATCTATTGCCAATCCTCCTCCTTTTTTTCCCCAAAGCCCCAGTAGATAGTTGTATGTCATAGTTGCACATCCTTCTAGTTGCTGTATGTGGGACGAGGCCTCAGCATGGCCGGAGAAGCGGTGCGTCGGTGCGCACCCGGGATCCAAACCCAGGCCGCCAGTAGCGGAGCACGTGCACTTAACCGCTAAGCCATGGGGCTGGCCCTAGCTGCAGAATCTTAAGCCAGTCTTTAAGACTATGTGCTTCAGCATCCTCATCTATAGAGTGGGGATAACATCTATCTCCTGGTGTTTTTGTTTTTAAGATTAGAGTATGTTAGTAAAGGCAACATAGCTATTTTTCTAGAATTTGTGGTGATTATTATCCAATACTTTCGATAGCACTATGAATATTGTAACGTTTTTTCCATTGTATAGAGGAGGTTACAAAAGCACAATTTTTGTCTGTTGCTTGCACAAGACATCCAACTTCATGATTGCTAAATCATGAACTTAAATTAAATCTACCTAAAACCAATCACACACCCATCCTGACCTCCCAAAAATCCCTAGGATTTACTATGCTCAACTCAAAACTCACCTCTTTCTGGTTTTTTTAGTCTCATTACTTTGCATCTGAAGTCTACTTGAACTTTTCAGATGAGAAAGTAAGAACTGAAGGCATCTTGGTACCTCCATTTTGTCCCTCTATCAGTCACTCACACACTCTGGGCCAAATGATTAGATGTGGAAGGCAGGCATTGTTGGATGATAATCATTAATTAATTGTATGACTGAATTATACCAAGGAAAAATTTCTTTATTAAAGTCCCCAATTTAATAAAATAAAATCAGCCCTCATTTTCCACCAACTATAGCAAGAATATTTCTGGAAATATTGATCTGTATTCTTTCCCACATGTGATTGTCCCTATAGTTAATATGGAACATCCACATTTTCGTCTTTCTTTTAATTTTCAAAGGTTTTGAATTTGGAATCAACTGTAAAACCTAAATTGAGCTGAACTATCTCCATTTATATAGAGCCTTCCCACAGAATTTAAAATAAAATCTGAACTTCTTACAATAGCCTGAAAGACAATATACGGTCTTGCTCTTGCCTGTTTCTCTTATCTCATATCTCATACTTTTATTTCTAGCCATACTGACCCGTTTTTATGTTCCTTGAACAGGACAAACTTATTTATGCCTCATGTCCTTTCCCCTTGCTATTCACCCTACCTGAAACACTCTTCTCCCAGCTTTCTACCTGGATTGATGGAAATCTTTCAGGTCTCAACACACCTCTTCAGAGAGCACTTCCCTGATCATGCTACTTAAAGCAGCCTCTCCTTTACCCAACCAGCTACTCTCTATAACATTACCCTGTGTATCTCCTTCCTAGATAGCATTCGCCATTGAAATTATTTTGCTTATTTGTTTACTTGTTTATTGTCTATATCCTTTTATATGAATTAGTATGCTTCTGGCTGCAGGTAATAGAAAACCCCAAACTCACTTAAAAATATGAAATTTATTATCTCACATAACTAAAAGTCCATCAATAAAGAAGTCTCTGGGCGAGGGAGAATGAGTATTTTAAAAATGACATTCAGGGACCCAAATTCTTTCAGTCTCTCTGGTCTACCGCCCTTATTGTCTAGCTTCATTCTCCTCTGGCTTCCCTCATGGTTGCAAAATGGTTACAATGGCTCTAGATGTCACACCCAGACACAATAATGGCCAGAGGGAAAAGATGCTATCTCTTCTTGCATCTCTTCTAAAAATGGTAGGAAATCTTTCCCCATGGTCCCCATTAGATTTCCTCTGATTTCCCATTAGTCATCTTGGATCATTTGCATGGAGATGGTTTAGAACAATTACTCACAATGAAAAAGATATTGGAAAGTCAACCACCATAACCACATAAATGATCACTAGACCTTCAGGATGTTGTCCATCTCATTCACAACTGTATTTCCAAAGCCTACTGTAGTACTTGGCACACAATAAGTGTTTGATTAATAAGTGAGTCCATTTAAATAAGTAGGACAGGAGGAGGAGAGAAAACCGACCATTTGCTGAGTGCCTGCTAAGGGCCAGGCACACAACATGATCTTCCTTATAATTGACTTCTCAAAAAATTTTATAAAAATGGTATTATTTCCCTTCTACGTAAAGCAAACTAATGCTTAAGAGATTAAGAAATTTGACCAAGATCACAAAGCTAATCAGTCATAGGACTAGGATTTGAAACTATGGGTGTCTGGATCTAAAGGTCATGCATTTCCCACTACAAGCTAATTAACAAAAGGTAATCATTCCCTTTCAGAAACTGGACACATCTGTGTAGATCCCACATGAAGAACAGCTAAAGAAAATCTGGTTAAGTTCGTCCTTAGCCTAGGATAGTCATCAGGTAACCAGCAATAGTCTTTCACTGATATTACTGAAATTGTATCCCCTACTCGATCACTCGTTTGTTTTTTTAAACATGTAGTAAAAATCAGGTGGCTGCGTGCCATGGGAAAATGGGGAAAAGGACAAATTGAAAAGCAATTTTTCCCCCTAATACTCAAGTGAGTTCACGGAAGTGTTTGGTGAACTGTCCGGTAGTGAATACTCAGAGAAAGGGCAAGCTGGCACAGCCTTAGAATCCTGGATAAAACCCTGATGTCTTGAAAGCTCAACTGTGGGAAATCTGGAAGGTCGGATCTATTTCTGATTTGTCTGTGTATCCTCAGCACATAGTAGGGGCCTAACAGATATATGTCGACCCCATGTATGCATGCGTCATTCAATCCACAATTAGGGACAAGATTGTGCCAACTGGAGACCCACCGGCTACAAATAAATCAAAATTCCGTGATTACGCCCATCTTTCTATTGCCTTCTGCTGGGGAAAACAAAGAAGAAAGAAGGAGGCTTTAGTATTCAAAGACTGCTAGTTCAGCGGTGAGCTCGCAAAGTGGTCCCCCTCGGGATGCAAGGAACTGGATACGAGAACAGGCAGTCTTGGAGATTACTCGAACCTCCAGCAAAGGGCGCGGCTACTTTCTTAGCCGCACCGGAACCTCTTGGCGGGATATGTGAGTTCCAGCGGGAACAATTTAGGAACAGGACCACTTCCTGCTGCAGAAGAGGGGCAAGGGATGGGGAGGAAATAGCTCGAGGAGCGGCATCCTGCTTGCGCTAGCGGCGGCAGAGGAGGAGGCAGAGAGGAGGCGGCGGGCGAAAGAGGCAGAGGAGGCTGCGGCAGAGAAGAAAGTGTCAGAGCCGGTAAGTTAGCCGCTGTAGAGCAGGGGACAGTGGACAGCGCCCAAGGCTCGCTTTGGAAACCGGTGGTCCCAAGTCGCCGAGCTGCCCGGTAGGGTAGGGGCCGAGCTTTGCCCGCCGCCTGTCAGTCGGCGACGAGAAGGGGCCGTCGGGGCGCTGGGACTGGGCCTTGCGGAGCGCCAGACTGCGCTCTGGCTGGCTGACAGCCCTGCCCCGGAGCCAGGGAAGGGGCTGCGCTCTTCTGCCTGGGGGCTCTGGGCCTCCGCACCCTGGACAGCTTCCCTGGAGAGGGGTTGGAATTCGGGGAAAGGAAGTGGGCACTGTGCGTCCCATTGCCCCCTCGGGACCTAGCGAGATCTTGCCAAGTGGGTGGTGGACGTTGCTTCAGGGACTGAAGGAAGGGCTTCTAAAGAGAATGTTCGTCTGGAGCCGTAGTTGCTCTGCCCTGTTCGAGCTCCCTGGCTGTCGGAAGCGGAGTTGTTTGTTTTTAAAGGCGCATACCTCCTCCTGCTCCTGTCACTTCGGGACAAGTTAACAGCTTTCAGATCTGTTGCTAAACCAGCATGTTCCCTATCCAATCTATCTTGTTAGTATAGGTGGGTATAGGTTAGTATATTGTGGGTATCTGGGGAATGCTCTGTAGGTATACTCGATGGTGAAGTCAAAGTCAAATGTCTCCAAGCACTGTTTGAAGAGAGACAAGATTAACCTGACAATCGGGACTGTTGAGCGCCCTTTCCTCACCCTCGCATAGAATCGTTTTACCATTTAGAGTAAAAATAGTCATCTTAAAGGTACTAGGTAAAGGTTATGATTGTGCATCTGCAAAAGGCCTGTGGTATAATAGGATATAAAATTCTTTATCACTGAACGAAATGATTATATAGAGATTGTTACTGGAAACATCAGAAATAGTTTTTAAGTTACTGCTTTTCTATTGTCTTAGGTTCGGCTTTAGAGTGTGGTGAAGGGTACTTTTCATGGTGCATGGAAGGAAAGCCAATGCGCAGGTAGGCATTTAGGAAGAAAATCTTCAGTTTCACTGACTGATATTCAGCATGTAATAATTCAGGGCTTCATTTAAATTTTTTTTTAAAGGTTTTCAAATCTTACCAAATTCTGCTTGCAGCTAATGAGACCTGTTCTAAAATAAATCAAAAGTAATATCAGGAATTAATAGCCTTTTTAATAGAGTAAAATATAGTACTTAAATTTATAAAGAGTGCTATGAATTTCATGTAGTTATTTAAATTTCCCTTTTTGCTTGGTAACTTTTTGTAATAATCACTAAGTGTACCGTGATACCATATGGATTTATTATAGTTTTCAATTCCTTATAGAATGTAGAGGGTTCTGTTGCCATATAAAAATAATGATTATTTATAATACACTGTACTGAATGTCTAATTATGGTTTTGATTATTTCATTGATGTTCAATAATACACTTGTTCTGTTAATTAAAATAGCTGCATTGCAGAGAAGATTGTTCAAGGACTAAAAAAGTATTGGACATAATAACTTAGTACATAGAAAAATAGAACAATGTGTGGGAAAATATAGACAATTATAGGCCCTCCCAACCCTAGAATTTAGTAATGCTTTTTCTCAATCTGTTCTAACAAATAGGCCTAGAATTCTTATTGAAACAAAATCAACCCAGTTTTACTTCTTCATTTTTTAAACTCATTTTACATTTACCAAACTGTATTTAATCATGTTAATCAACATCAAAGATAAACAGCTCTGGCCGACACTGTTAAGAGAAGAAACATTTTATGATGGGACTATGACTTATAACTTAGAACCAAAAGCAAGACCCATAAAATGTATATCTTTTTCCAGGTCTGTTATTTTTTAGTTGACCTTGAGCTGTTCACCTTCTCTGTACCCCGGTTTACTCCTCTGATGTATCTGACCAGGATATTGGAAATTAATGAATGCTTTCAAATACTTTATATCTCCAGATGAAAAGATGTTTTGGATGTAACAAATGCCGTTATCTTATTTACATCTTACTCTACAATAGGAATAATATTTGACTGAAAATATGTGAAGTTAGCAATACATATATTAAATGCTTCATCACTTCAACTTTTAACATGATTGCAAAAAACCACTGATTGCTTTTCATCCTCAGCTGCCATAAATGTCATATCTTATGTAATTGCTAAAATAAGAGCGTATTAATTTTTAGAAAGAGAAGGCACAGTGTGGGAATGTTTTTGGTTTATCAGTAATTTCTTTTTTCTTTTTTTTTATAATATTTTTTTGATTTTATTTATTTATTTTTCCCCCCAAAGCCCCAGTAGATAGTTGTATGTCACAGCTGCACATCCTTCTAGTTGCTGTATGTGGGACGCGGCCTCAGCATGGCCGGAGAAGTGGCGCGCCGCTGCACGCCCGGGATCCGAACCCAGGTCGCCAGCAGCGGAGCACGCGCACTTAACTGCTAAGCCACGGGGCCGGCCCAGTAATTTCTATATAAAATATTCGCTAATCACTCATACCTACCCTTTTTTCTTTTCTTGCTTTATTATGTAATACTACCAGTTATTCAAAATCATGTTGGAGAATTCTGGTGCTAGAGCCTGGCCTACCCATTGCTCTCTGGTTTTACTTTTACCTGCTGCCTACATTAAGTCATGGTCACACTTCCCTAGCATTTCCTTGTTGGGCTGTGATTCTTGCTACTGCAACCTGGAAGGCAATCTCTGGAAAGTAATGTTGGGTTTATACTTAGCTGCTATTGGAGAAGCTTTGAATGAGAAGTAACTCCTTATATCGAGGTTATTTGAGTACGTGTTCATTCTCCCTACTAGAGTGTGAGCTCTTTGAGTCTCATATGTCTTCTGTATCTTTGCATCCCTGGCACCTAATGATCACTGAATAATTGTTTGAATGACTAAATGGTATCTGCACACTTTTCCTCTGCAAAATAAGAAAAAAAAAGCTATGACCAAGAAAAGATTGAAGATTGTTGTTAAAGGTATTCTAATGCTTAATTATAAAGTTTTATGAAATTGATTGGCATTTTATTAGTAAAGCTTCATTGCACTCATTTATTTAACTAGCTGTTATGTGTACATGATACAAAATTTAAAGATAAAATAGGATATTCAATGAAAAGTAAATCTCCCAATGCTGACCCCAGCTCTGTTTTCCTCTCCAGAGGCAACCACTGTAAACAGTTTCTTGTGCATTCTTTCACAGACATTGTAGTGCATATACAAGCATATGTAGATTATCTCCCCTTTTTTAAAAACACTAATGTCAGCATATCATGCACATTCTTCTGTATCTTTGTTTTTTCACTTCACAAATTATCTTGTAGATTGTGACAAGTAAATATAGACCCACCTTATTCTTTTTCATAGTTACATAGTATTCCATTGTCTATAGATACCATAGTAACCAGTCCTTTTGAGAGACATCTAAGTTATTTCATATGTTTTGCTGCTACAACCAGTTCTGCAACAAATATCCTTGTAGGTGGTTTTTGCCCGAATGTGTAAGTAGAGAATAAATTTGTAGATGTAAAATTGCCCAAAGAGTATGTTCATTTGAAAATTTTGGTAGATATTGACAAATTCCCCTCCTTAGAGATTATACCATTGTACAGTGTCACAAACAATGTGCCTATTTCTCAAGATACTATGTTTTAATCATTTGTTTCCTTTAGAGACACTAAAACACTTGCAATGTAATTCTTCTATCTTTCCTTAAATATATAAACAGGAGACGGAGCCTCATTTTCTTAGGAATTGGTCTATTCACTCGTCAAACATTTATATAGTACTTGTTCTATGCCTGTACACTGTATATATTACAGATGAAATGATGGAAAGATGTGTAAACAGACACCATAATAAAACAGGAACAGGATTTTAATAGAGATGTAAACACAGAGGAAGGAACCTCTGCTCTGAGGAGATGAGAAAAGCTTCATAGAGATAGTGATATTTCAGCTGGATCTTCTAGAAAGGATGGGAATTTGCCTTAAAGTAAAGAATGTACTTTAAAGGATAAAAATTTAAAGAAGAAAGATAATAAAAGACACCATAAACAGAAGGAACAGCTGTGCCAAAAAAAAGAAAAAAGACACCAAGACCTAGAAGTGTATGACATGTATGGAATGGTAAGTATATCTGGAATGTAGAGAATGTGGTGGAATAGGAAGGGGAAACAGGGGGAAAAATATGGGAAATGAGGCTACAACCATGGGAAAGAATTTGGCTTTAGCTTTTAGGTATTTAAGAGCCAATGGACATTGTTATACAGATCAGATTTGTTCTTTGGGCTGATATTTAGGAAGATAGGGCGTGGACTAGAAAAGGGTAAGAAATGATGGCAAAGAAACTAGTTTAAAGGAATTGTGGTAGTTGAGATGAAAGCTGATGAGGACCTGAAGTAGATCTGTGGTGTGGGGATTGAGAAGAGGGTGGATTTGAGTGTTTGTTTAATGGTAAAATCAAAAGGATTTGGTGAATATCGAATGAGGAAGTAATGATATAAATGACTCCAGGGATTTCAGCTTGGGAAACTAGGTGCTGCCATGATGAGATCAAAAATACGGAAGAAGAGCAGGTTTCAGTAAGCCAAGAATAGATTCTCTTTCTTACACTTTAAGATTATTATGTCTAGGAAACACCCAGGTAGAGACAGCCAGCATGTAATTGGAATGTGGATCTGGGGCAGAAGAGCGGTTTGGGCTGCAGATAAAAAAAAAAAAAAAAAATTGTGAGTCATCAGTATGCAGGAGTTTCTTGAAGTTGTAGGCGTGAATGAGGGTAGAACAGAAAAGGAGGATGCCAAAGACAGAACCCTATGGAGTATCAGGGCTGTTTAAGGTGGAGCCTTAAAGTAAAGATTCTAAAATGGGTAAGAAGCTCTAGGTTCTTTGGGTCTTGTTTTATTTAATTGTATCTAGAGTTTTTATTGCTAATTTTCACTCATGGTGAAGATCAGATGAGCTTCTCCTTGAGTTCAACTTCAAAAGACAAAAAAATCCCATTCAGATCTCATATCTTGAGAATCTCCTGGGGCCGGCCCCTGGCGTAGAGGTTAAGTGCATGCGCTTCGCTGCTGGCGGCCTGGGCCCGGATCCCGGGCGCACACGGATGCACTGCTTGTCAGGCCATACTGTGGCGGCGTCCCATATAAAGTAGAGGAAGATGGGCACGGATGTTAGCCCAGGGCGAATCTTCCTCAGCAAAAGAAAGAGGAGGATTGGCATGGGTGTTAGCTCAGGGCTGATCTTCCTCACAAAAAAAAAAAAAAAAAGTTTAGAATTTCCTATTTATTCTAGTCAGTCTAAAAGGTATGCTTAAAAATAGTAGTATAAGATATACCTGCTTGATCTGGCTGTTCCTTGGTGTGGCATGCAGTGTAGGTTGGCTTGCCCAACAGCTCTCCTTCCTTTCCTTTCTCTACTATATAGACACAAGAAAATTAACTATTATGCTTAATATCTTAATCTTCTTTGCATTTTGGGATGGCTGTGTAACACAGTGCTGCCGGTGAGATGTCAGTGGAAGTTGCTGAGAGGTATCCTAGGAAGGCTTTTGCTTTCCTGATATAGAGGGAGACCAACCTTACTTGCATGGCCATTTGCCCTTCCTCCTTCATCTTGCCTTGATTGCTGGGCCAAGGCACCCAAAGCTGACACTTATTTTATACAATAAGGAATGAGGAGATGTCTTGGGGCTGAAGGATTCATGACCTATTTACAGATTAAGAGGTTAACAGCCTGGCTTTATGGTATAGAATCAGGTATGGAATGTAGTGCCTAGTGGGTGCCCTTCTAATAAGCAGAACTGGCACTTTGAGATGTTATTTCTGTTTTAAGGATTTGTATACTCAAGTCTTTAGCTCTCTCTATTAAAGTGTGTTAGGATTTTGAATGAGGGTCATTTCAGCTGAATCTTCTTTTTAAGAGCAGGCTATTAATTTCCAAATTAAAACAAAATTTTTGAAGTATAAAAGGAGAGATGTTCATTTAGATAGGGAGCA